AGGAGGTTTACTCAACGCATATCCTATGTGGCGCATACGCGACTGGGACGATACAAAGCGGTCTTCCCGACTATAGTCGGAAGATATTCAGCGTAACTTGCGCCGTGACGGGGCGATCGCGAAGTCGCGTGGTCTCTGCATTTGAGCAATGTTTTTCGCAACATGGTAATGGAAGTAGCGGAAGTGAATTTATCTAATGGTACTTTCGTCATTTGAGCAATGTTTTTCGCAACATGGTGGGAGTAGCCGAAATCGTAATGGTCAGCGAGCTGTAGACATTCTAGCAAGGTGGAAAAACTTGGGCAAGCTCATGTCCTTCAAACCAGCAGCTTAGGATGTTGCGGATAGCCGCAACAAATTGCGGAATGTCAGAAAATCCCGGGCTGTAGCACAGTATCAACAACGTTGCTCAAAGTGCTCAAAGCGACGTCTGACTACATTTGGGCAACTTAAACAAAAGGTGCTGAATCAGAGGTTGCTGAAATGTGTATCTTCCCAACGGGATCATAGCGAAATAGAGAATCATACATTTACTCCTTGACGATGAAATTATTCTGACCAACGTCAAAAGGGGTTTACCGAGTCCATGCTAGTTTTCCAAAGTGAGCCCGTCACCAGCAAATTCCGTTTGGGTTGTAATCGATTTCGTGTGGTTGGTTTGAGTTTGATAGTTCCCTAGTAATAGAAACGAAATGGCTGAAGGGGAAGTGTTATTCAAATTCGACTGCGCGATCTGTGGGCGCGTGTCACTGAGCCAAGGGACGCTACTCAGTTTCCTTCGTATCGATCGATTAATGTCTTCCGGTCTCCGCGGTTCTGACCAGCCTCCCAAGCAGTGGCGAAAGATTGTCATACTATTTGGACCCCCAGGTGCCGGTAAGGGCACTCAAGGTCCCAAGATGGAGGACAGTAATACTCAATGGGTTGTTACTCTCGATGGCTAGATGTTCGTGTGGTCTCAAATTGCTTATGTTCAGCTTACAAGATCCCCCAGCTCTCGACCGGCGACATGCTCCGGGCTGCCGTCGCTGCCGAGACCCCTATTGGACTGAAGGCCAAGGATGTGATGGCCCGCGGCGAGCTCGTCAGCGATGAGATCGTCATCGGGATCATCAAGGACAGGTGATGATGATGCCGTCGAAAATTCTGTGACCTGCATCTCGGCACCTATCATCTTTGCAGGATTCAGGAGATAGATGCTGGTTGGGGTTTCATTCTCGATGGCTTCCCGCGCACTGTTGAACAAGCAACTGCGCTCGACGCCATGCTCGCTGAAAACGGTGAGCGTGTTACCAAGGTAGTAGCTCTACTCGCATTTCGGCCGGTATGCGCAATACTGGCGCTTTCGTGCATACCCTTGATTTCACCAACGAATACTATGACATGTCTCAGGTCATCGTTCTCGATCTACCCGACTCTGTGCTCGAGGAGAGGATTTGCGGTCGATGGATCCACAAGCCCAGTGGACGTTCTTATCATGTCAAGTGAGTGCGGTTATGACGTACCCTTTGATCTGTCGATTTGTATCATGCACGCTCAACAGGTTCAACCCCCCAAAGTCTCTGCCCGCCGGCGCCGCCCCTGACGCCACCAACATGCTCGATGATGTCACTGGTGAGCCTCTCATACAGCGCCCTGATGATACCGCTGAGGCCCTCAAGACCAGGTAGACCTTTCGTTCACTGATCGCAGCTCACGGAATGTGTTGACATTGCGGTAATGGTCAGGTTGTCCGCCTATCATTCTCAAACTGAGCCCATTGTTGCGCACTACGCCCCTACGAAGGTTGTCGAGCACGTGGATGCCAACCAGGGTATGGAAAAGGTAATTGAGATGTTCTCTGCTATTGTCTCCGCACGGTATCACTTTTTAGGTTTGGGAGGAGATCCAGACGGCTATGAAAGCTTGAGCATCTCTACTGTCGTTTCTTGTAGCTCGTTTTCGGAGAGGATAATTGCGTTCATCAGTGTCAGTGTATCAGATCATAACGTATTTTAGTGGAAGCGCTTGAGCATAGCCTTAGAGCTGGGGATTGAGACCGTTTCTGTCTGGTCAACGATTCACCAGCAGGCATGCAAGGCGAGTTTAATGACGTGGAGCAGTGATCGGATCGAAGGACCATTTTTAGTCGAAACGGTCGATACTATTGGCCTATTGATATTGAAGACGAATTGCTCTGTATTTTACTGCTTCTGTCAATATCGTGATCAATGTAAGGTACGCAGAAATATTAACCTGATCAATATTCGCACAAAGGTTCTACCGGGATTTGAACCCAGATCGCCAGATTCAGAGTCTGGAGTGCTAACCGTTACACCATAGAACCAAGTTGTATATTATGAATTATCAGCCGTATCGAGCTGCAATAATTCAGATTAGACTGGTCATTTCGGATTTTCTCCACGACCCCGATACTAAAGGGCAACTGTCCTACGACTAGAACACATAGTCTTGCTCTGGCTCGTATGCTACGAGGCAGAGCAAGACTATGTGTTCTTCATCTTATTTTCTTCCCATTACAAAAGGCGAAGGTGGGATTCGTATCCGATTCTAATTCTTCATTGCTTCTTGGTCATTCTCTGAGGGAATTCAAGTCTTTGAGCATCCCGTAACTTGAACGAGTACGACTGGACCATCGTCATTGTTCTCCCTCCCCCTTACGAAAGGTATTTATGAGACACACTACTCACGTCGCGAAGTTAGGATGACGAAGCTCCGAAATAAGCCTAATACGATCTCTCGGAGTCACGGGCGATCACATATCTTGTTCCATGCTGTGGATCTTACGACGTAGCCGTTTCAAAAGTCCGAGAGACTACACCCCTCACTGCTGGGGCGTGAAGGTAAAAGTGCCCCGCCAAAAGGTAAGGAGTTCTATCTCACGACCGTTGTCTGGGTGATCGTCTTCACATAGACTTACTCGATGAACACAATTCAGTCGCGCAGAAAGATATTTTCTTAACATTTGCAAATAACGATGAGCGATATTGCTGCTAATGCTACTGTCAGTGGACTGATCACTCCTCTTTCTCCTTAGCCCTGGCAACATCCTCGCTAACTATCTTAGGACCCCACTTTTCGAAGATGAGATCAACACCGTGTTCAATCGGCTTATCGCATACAATGGGAAGGACTGAAAATGCGAGTTGATGAATCACACTGTCGACCAGAACCGCAATCGCGCGTGATGAGTGCTGATACGCATTCACATGCAGGCCAGCAGAGTTACATACTTACAAGGGACAATTGCCAAACCAATAATGGTAGGGCCCCCCTGAAGTAGGCGTGCGTTCTTCACAGCCATACGACGGAGCATAACACCAGAATAGTGTACAGTAGAATGACTGACAGAAAAAAAACCAACAGTGTGGACGCATCTAAACGGGGAAGTTTTACATGATAGCAAAGGGCAGAGCCAAACTAGCTACCATCTGAAAGGTAGTGGCCTTAGCTGCCGCAGTCCATACCCGAATCTTGTGATCAGCAAGATCCTTGGTACGCTTATATTCAAGCCAGGTAGAATAGCCGATATCGCCCTAACATGCACCATGCGAGAAGTGAAAGCATATTCCTCCTCACAAAGATATATCCAACCGTAGCAGCATAAGAGGTATTGACAAGCCACCTAGGGACTACTGGACGGAAGGCCTCGCCTACATCAGAGGTGAACGCTAGGTATCTAACTTGCCTAGCCGACGGTGTAATCTACCCAGACATAACAATAAGCGATGTGATGATCAGTGAAGGCATTGCTCACCACACGAAGAATGCGCTGAGCAAAGGCGAGATAACGAAGTTGGGTGTCTCTAAAAATGTCCCCTTGCTCTTTGGTGTGGTAGTCATAGACCTCTATCCCAGCGGACGGAGCGATAGTCTCTGTAGTTGTTGCGGTACTAGTCATGGTAGTAGACATGTAGAAGTATCAAACAGAGTAAAACGAGAACACATTAGTCACTAGAGTAACGCATGTACTTCAGAAAGGAACTGAAAATGCTCATAATATGGCTGCAGAAATTCACGGCAGATTCACGGGGTGATGATCATAAGCAACGTTCAATGTGATTGTCGATCACAGTCGACTTTCTCCCAACTGCTTAGTCAATTAGAACTTGCTGATGATAATGTAGCAAACGATACACTCAGGTGGTGGGCAGTTGTGCTAATTAGTCAAAGCACAGCAATGATATCGTTCATTCCAAAAAAACTCTAAGTCAGTCTAGCTAGACCGAGATGTGAACACCTGTAGGGCGCTGTGACCGATCGGCAACAGGTGATGAGCACGATTCTGCTGCCACTCAGCCGCGGACAGATCGAGGCAGAGACGAATCACACCGTTAGATGTGGCGACTGCCAGCAGATGAAAACCTGAGGGAACACGAAGTCACTAGTATTCCCCAAACGCTTTACATTCGGCACTGCGACCAACTCTACCAAATACTGTATCAACCAGAGGATGCCCAGACAAAGCCTGTCGTACTGGACCTACACAGACACCCTTGCTGCCAAATAACAGCAGCAGCAGCCACCCTTACAGAGGAAGGATGCCGTACAAAATGTCGAGCCCGACTGGGAACCTGCAGCGTGGCGTGGTGATGAGAGAGGCTGAGATTGCAAAGACGGGGATTCCGGAGGGGTTAGCGATGTGGTTCGATCGGACTGTCGTCGACCTGGCAGGTGTATCACTGCAATCACGAGATGGCCGAGTCTTACCTATACCGTCTAGCAAGTGGCATACCAAAGGGGCCTGATTGGTATCTTTAGTGGCGTAATCGACACTCCATCCACAAAACCTATGGGGAACACTAACAACGTCACGCCCTCTAATACTCTACAGAAATTATGATTTTGCAAGCCCATTACGCAAACGCTAATCGCCTAATCAGTTCCTAATGATAGCTTATTCCTATTCACCAGCTTTCGAATGCACACTGAGCCGCGACAGATAGTAATAGAGGCAAACGGGAGGTGTAGGGCGTCTACAGTAGAGGGTACTCACCATCCAGTCTCTCCGACTGAAAGAACCCTCTTCGTTGACCCTGCCGACCAAGTGGCCATCAGCATCATGCTCTGATTAGTGTAGTAGAGCGGTGACTTGAACTTGGTCCGTTTCGACAGGTCTCTCAGATGTACTATCCTCACTCGAGAATCTCCGCAACACACCAATAACCTAACCTCACAGCCTCAGGACTGTAACCAGTAGCAGTTGCTGCGATAGGCCTACACAGTGTGCACATGGTCAACTACATGAAAATTTTCAGGAAATTATGGGAAATTCTTGTTAGTTTCTGCGCACTTCTACCCGAGTTCATCTACAAACTTCGATGATAATTGAGGAAGCTCTTGAGCTCAGGTGAGGAAATCCAAAATATATTCCAACAAATGGCTTACCTCTGGCCCGATGCATCCCACTGTATAGAAGTAACCTTCCGACCATTACGGAGTTTACCCGCCCGATTGCGGCAGTCAAACACTCCCTCCCCCCTCAAGGACTTCATCAAGAACAACGATACTGTACCCACTGCCGACCCCACAGCTATCTGGGACCCTGACAAGCCCGACCAGTGCTGGCGAGCCTGACTAGATGAGGAACAAGAGCCTACCATCTGGAGACAGCGCCACGCAGGTAGCCATTTGATCGATCTTCACCCGATGCCTCAGATGAGGCTGCTCCCGAGCATTCTCGGCCATAGAGTAACTAAACCGATAATCCGGTCACGGGGGCATCCATCGGTACATCTCAAT